GCCGGTTGCGCGCCGTGATCGATAAGCGGCGATTATATTTCTTCGTTCCCCCGATCGATCTCTCCCGCGGGGTCGGCGATCAATCCGTAATTGATCGCCGCTGCGTTAAAGCGACGAACGTCTCGCGTTTTACGCAACCGCGTATTTATTATTCAAATTACAATCTCGCGCCAAGGTGATTCGCCGTCGGTTCGTTTCGTACGTCGTCCTTGAGATTCCTGAACGACGAGCGGGATTAACAATGGGAACTGGTAGTGGCCATTTGTCTCTCTTCGTTACGCTTGTAAATACAGAGCGGGTCCAGTCACGTGAATACCTTGCTCAATGGTCGCTTCCCCGAAACCCGGCGGAATTCCTTTGCACGTGAATAATGCGGGGAATAGTCCGATGTAAATATTACGCAAAAACGGATCTGTTTTGAATGAGCCAAGCGGAAAAGCACGCGGAGTCATTATTTGTCCGCTCGTTAACGCGAGACTTTCGCTATCGCCGCCTGGAGTACAAACCAGTTGACCTCAGGTCACGATTTCTTAACGCTTTCGCGCAGGAATAATATTGCACTTGCCACGCGCGAACGGTCGCCTGTTTTCTCGATCTCGCGTGTACTTTGGAAGCTTGTGCAAATCATCAATATTAATTATTAATTCTCGAAGAGAGAGAGAGAGAAGGACGATCGGGTATCGTCAGCCTTGACGATACGTCTGTCACCCTATGATCTTTTTGAGCTGACGAGGTTTTAGAAATTGAAAAAGTTGGAAAGTAGTCTTGCCGCGTTTTTTAACCGTTAAACGTGCATCCATATTCATCCGCGATGATTCATGCCGTGATTCATGAACATGCTTGATCATGTTCAGAACAGGTGAAAGAACCACCGATGTCTCCTTGTTAATTTGTCTCCCACCTTGATTATGCACAAAGTATTTTCTGTTTCACTTGGTCGTTCCCGAATCACTGTTTCACCGCTTCGCGAGATAGCAGAATCCTCTGATATTTCCGTTGCACACCCGCGCAGAAATCTCAAGAAAAAATAGCCCTGAAGGCTCCCGACGACCCCCGACGGCCCCCGACGGCCCTCGACGCGAAGATCCCGTCTCGCTGATAGATACCCTTAATCGCCGCCTATTCAGCGAAAGATCGAGCTCATCACTCCGTAATCTATTCATCTCACGCCACTCACTCGCGATCGTCTCGCGCACTTTCGAGGCACATCGATACGAACAAGTATCGCGTAGAGGTCGCGCGGGACCAAACGCGAGAGAAGAAATGTCCGCACTTTGGAGGCTGAAAATACGTTGCCATGCTCTGGCGATGTTCGTCCTCGAGGAAGACTCTCGGCGGAATGCTGGAAATACGAAAAAGTCTTTTCCTCCCTTCCCAAAACCTTTCGAGTTTACTAAATTTTAAAGTTTAAGTCGTGAAAGCCCTCTGCTTTTAGTAACATTTTCTATACAAGCAAACGTTAGACACATGTGTCCTTTCTTTCCCCTGGCATTTTATATTTTCAGTTCGTTTCCTGTCAATGATTGTGACGAACATTTACAAGTTGCCGTAAGGATCTTTTTTTCTCGCAGGTGGTCTCACAGACTTCTATCGTATAAAGGATCCCCTGTTATAAAATAGACATCATCAATAATAGAATAATAATGATTAAAAATAACTTCGGCAAAGTGTAACTTCTCTAGTCTGAAATTTTTCTTCCAAGATTCGCCAAAGAGTTCATAGTCTTGTAAGGATACTTTTGTGATAGATGTATATAACTTCGGAGTATGCAGAGTATCGTAATGACATATTTTACTAAGAATGCACGCGTTGTGCCACCCCGGGCGCGGATTCTCCTGGAAGCGCCGCGTCTCGGTTCTTTCTGCTTCGACAGCCACTCTCGCTGCTGAGTTGCATTATGTCGCGCGCATTATGCATGTTGTCATCGTGCAATTCCGAAGAGTTGGATGCGCGCATATTCGAATGCGCGCAGGAAGTAGTGCAACTTACACCGAGCCTCAGAAGCGAAGAACAATCCCCGCGATATTAATATCGAACTTTTAATATCAAGTCGCGATGCCGATCGCCAGAGCGAAGTCAGCTTTTCGCAAGTGAGATTATCTGCGATAACGTTTTAATATTGTCATTTTCAACGTTTAGGTTTTCGGCCTTTAATACGTGGCGACGTGTAAATGCATTTTGAGGGAGGGTTTTAAAATAGAAATTGAATTTAAATTTATCGCGCAAAGGAGAAGGAGTGGGACATACGTTCTTGAAGGCTGATTCACCGTTTACTTAAATGCGCCACGTACCTGCTCGATGATCGTATCGCATTGTAATGCACTTTCGCGCTCGCGACGATAAGACTTTTGTTTACGAGTTTTTCAGAATTGCTGTATAATTTCAAAAGTTGGCTACGCTGACAGCTAACAGCATTATATTTTCCCGATGAAACCGAGCCGGCTATCTTAGCCATCCGCTAAACATGCAAATACCAAGGTGGCCTGACTCGATTACCTCGAGTCACTTTAAAACCGACGGTCTATGCTATTTGCAGAAATGTGCGACCTCGAAAAAAATTTCGCGACGCTAGATAACGGAGTTTAAGTTGCTTTATGACCAAGCGAGGATTAATAACGCGATTGCGCGTAATTGCGTTTCGGCGCCGCGATGTTAAACATGATGCAGTCAGCAAAAGGCGAGTAGATAAGTCTCTACGTTTACACAAGTGCGATAATATGCGCTTTTAAACGCATTTCAACGACCGATGTCGCAAATGTCGAAGCGCGAACGCGGAGTGAGCCGCGCGTGTTACGTCCGTGACGCGCCTCTTTCGAGATGAATGAACAAAGGAAAGGAAAAAAAAGTACGACTCTCATTTCAATTTACATATTCTACACTATTTCTCGTTTCTCTTTATCACGTCGCAATGTAAACACGAAAGCTACCAAGGTATTATTATTTCATACGTTCGCCCGTTGCCGCATTCCTACGCCTCCCACGAGAAAGAACAGAAGTGACATAACTTCGGGGTCAATAACTTATGAAATTGCCATAGAAAATTCCTGCCGATATATATCCGTCTTTCAGACCTGACACGTTTTCCTGTTTAAAGACCTGCCCTCGTGTTTTTACTACGCACCTTATAAACACTAGCTTCTTCTATCTTCCTGGTATTTTAACCGACCTCACAGATACGCGCCGTGTCGTGTAGTATCCGAATAGTTTCCGTCGCCAGTCATGAGTCAGCGCGCTGTTGTTTTTATTTCTCTTCTGGAGATCATACCTGCATGGTGCGTCAATAGCGGTCTGCTTTTTCAAGACGGTGTGCGTACGTGTGTGTGTGTGCGCGCGCGCGCGCCAGAGTGCACCGCACTCTCGCGCACGCCGAGATAAAAGGGACGCGAGAAGGAGCGAGGGCAGGGGCGAGGGAGGAGAACGGACAAGAAAGAAAGAAAGAGAGAGAAGACACGCGCGGACGTATTTATCGCGCGCGTGCATTGTAAGGTCCGCCGACCGAGCGTGCAGATAAACACGCGCGTTGCGCACGTAACAGTATAAATAACTTGCGCAAGCGTTAATGAATGCTCTTATCTTATACCCCCGGCACACCTCCCCGCCCCTCGAGGAGTCGCGAGATAGATATACCAGCCAGACGCTGCGTTTTATTATCTCCGTCGATGCGCGCCGCGTTTATGCGGGATGAGCGAATTTCTTGCCGCGCGAGGAGGCAGAGAGATAAAAGTTACGCATATCCTAGAGCGAGTTCTCCGGGAGACCGCGCGCGAACAACACAAATAAAGCGCCGTGGGGTGGATACAGGGCGATAAACAATAAGCGTGTCTACCGTGGCGCGGATCCGCCCGTCCCTCCCGTCCCTTGCCAAATCTGCATAAATATGTGCGCAGATCGATTGAGTTTCGCGCGAGTTACGTTCTCACGCGCGCACGCATACCTACATTTTCCCCGTGCACTCTTCACGGTTTGGCGAGGTGCGTGTCGACGGAGAACCGCGAGAGGATCCGCGCATTGCAAAGGGGACGGCGTTCCATTTGGCGCTCGCGAGCATCGTTAATTAACATTCGCCGAGCGACGGGGATGAATAAATGTGGAGCTAAAATGTGGAGCGTATCCACGGTGTGTAAAGGGAACGCGCGACTGTAACCCGGGGAAAACGCAGAGATCCGACAATTGATTTCGGTCGCGTCGAGTAACGGTAACAGCTGACAGGGCTCGTTGCCCCTAGGGAGACGGGGGGGGAATCGCGGCCCCCGCGTTTCCTCCCCTCCCTCCTCGCGTTACGCCATTTGCGATTTCCGCCGAGCCTCGCGAACGGAGGCCGTAGGGCAGAGATAAATCGATAAAGAAACGCGAACGCGGGGGGGGGGGGGGAGGAGGAGCATGAGAGCGACCGCGGAGGAGTTTCTTTGTGGCCGTGTAAACCGCGCGCGTGTAAATTACGTCTTTCGTTTAAGCGTCGAATTGCGGAGCGCAACGGCACAAAGACGTTCGCGCCTCGCGACGTTAGTCTCTCGCGGAGGCCCCAAAATGAAAATACCATAGACATAATATATCTGGACCGAGCAGTGGGGGAGGAGTTCGCGTGCGAACGAGAGAGAGAGCGAAGTGGCACAAAACAGAGTTCGTCCCTTTCCACGTAAACCTCTACTCCCATCGCTCAAATAAAGGCGAACGCTCAGTCTAGATATGTTATCAAGAGATACGGACAATATCTTCGTACTGTTATTGCGACAAATATTATCATATGCCTCGCTGTGAAACAAATCGCTAAAGATAAGCACAGTTTTTGGGCCGTTAAAGTGGAATGACTCCTTAAAGTGACGTGTCGTTGCAGCGGTGTGGCTAAGTGCAACGGAGAAATCTATTAGACGCGTTCGCGAGGCGAATCTGTAAATCCGCTCTTAATCGCCGATGACCTCGTAAGCTCGCGAGCCGATTTTGTACGCAACGATTCGCATATACGCGCGGGGACTGAGTTTTCGTTTGCTTGCCTGTTGCAGGGAACACCGTGAACACGCGGAAGTCCGCGAGATGGAGAAGGCCAAGGAACGGGAACGGGAGAGACTCGAGAAGCAGAGGGCCGAGCAGGCGGTTCATAAACACTTCGAAGAGTCACTCAGGCTGGCGCAACAAAAGGTGAGTCACGCTTTGCTGCTTGTTTTGTCCTAACCCGATTCGCCACTTTCCGATCTTCCCAGGGAGGATTCGTGTGATTTATCTCTTTTCGCCTCGGTTTGCGGGCCCTTTTTCGGCCCATTAGGATTGATTTAGAAATTGGAAAGAATTCTTGGGACTGTAAAAGAGTTTCTAGCTTTGATGTTCTACAAAGAGCAATAAAAAGGAAGAAAAGGCACTAGCGTAATAAAAAACCTTTTCTGGATAAAAAAAATTTATGTCATCGGGGATGAGGGTTTTCTCTTCTTCTGACAAAGATCTTGCATATGCAAATAGAATGGATTTATTACTAGGCAGAAGTTTGAAAAACCTGGATTGCGTATTAGGGCTATTTCATTTCTTTTCCTTTCTTTGTTCGAGCTCAAGGTCAGTATTCCCCGTTTTACTTGCCCAATATATTTGATGGTACGAAAACTCCGGGGGTTCTCCCTAGGAGAGCATGTCCTTCAGTTTGGGTAAAGATCGTTTGCGGGGATTTGATTAGCTGAAACGATGTACGAAGTATTCGACAAAGAATTCATTTCCGAAAGAACCAGCAGAAATCGTTTGTGTACCGTGCGATGGGAGCGAAGTTCCCGGATGACATGACAATGTCCAGTCCAGGGTATACATTATTCGGAAAGGAAACATTAGTTTGTAACGATTGATATCGATGTTTTATCCTGTTATTATTTTTAATTAATTAAACAAACCTTTACTGGAAACTTGTTCTCACGAAAAGCAACGAAGGTGCTTTAGTTACTAAAACGTTAGATTATACTTTTGGTCGGAAATTTTTGTACATTTTTTTTACAATTTGTCCTAAAAGAAACTTTTATGGGAGTAATAAAATTGCGAATAACAAGTAAAATCTATCTCGCGCTACAACGTGTTGTTTTCCTAAGGGCCAGTTTCACAAACGTCGGTTAACTGCTAACCGAAGGTTAATTGATCCTCTATCTCTTCTCAGAGAACAAGATAGAAAAAGATAGGGAGTTGACTGAACTCTGGTTAACAGTTAACCGACGTTTGTGAAATTGGCCCTTGCCAGTTTTGTCTTTGCCAGAAAGTTTGCAAGTTTTAATTCTCGAGGTCCTTCGATATGCTGAAGTTATATACAAAATAGATACCAACCTCTAGAATACTCTAGAACCTCTAGAAATTAACTAGAAAAAAGAAGAAGGGATTTTGGTGACAACCAGGTTGTCCTTTCCTAGTCTTACTGGATTGTTCATTCCCCTGAGGGAATGTCTGCATGTCTGAACATGCTTAGTTCGTTCCGGGCTTCTGTTCTGAGAAGTTATGAGAAGGAAGAGTACAGAGAATCTCGTAAAATACTCCGGAATATCGAGTTATTTTTCGCAAGTGTTCTATGCATTCGTAATCACTATCAGTCTCCGCGATTACGCATTATTCGTAGCCTCGTCGTTTAATTAGTGCATTGTTAACGCGCGGAGTTACGGCTCGCGTATATGCACGTAAAATATTAACACGAAGAATTTTCGTGAAAATAATTTTCATTGTGAAACCTAACTAATGAAACATAAGAAATGGAATTTACCCCTGCTCCGAAATCTGGCCTACTTCATTTACAAATTCAACCCTGGGACGTACTCGATATAAAAACGATCGAAATATGTGTTGGAAATCAGGTAAAATTATCTTCAATAACACGGCTATACAGCTGTACAATGTACTAGTAAATTCATCGTAACATTCGTTGATTTATCCCGATTTATCATAGACGCGTCGTAGAAAGTTAGGAAATTACAAAAGTTGTTCTAGAACGATTTTTCTCTGACGCGGTGTCCGCGATATCAGGATCACCGGACAGGTTCGCGATGCTTCGACGCATCGGTGCACTATCCGATAAGCGCGATTAACGCGTTTCCGAGCACAATAGCGCGGGTTCATTTCGCACGCGCGGCCCCCCGTCGCCGACCTTGGCATCTCGCCAAGCCGCCGCCAGCGAACCGTGACACGCGTTCAGCACATCCGAGATTGGCTAACGATTTCGCTGGAAAAAATTTCGCGCGGCGCGAACGCGAGCGTGAAATTTCGACGATGCATCCGCGCATTGTTACTTTTCGCTCGCTGTTGCGCCCATCGCGGCAATTATCTGCCATCGTCGGAGTAAATTCGATGAACTTGATATTTCAATGATTCGCTTTGCCATTTGACCATCACGCGGCGATACGTAACGGCGGTAGTCTGAAATAATTTCCTTCGCCCATTTTTTTAACGCATATTCTTCTCCGCGAAGAAAAATGTGTAACGTGTGCCTACACCCAGAAAAAAAGTTTCTTTGAAATCGAACCGATTGTAGATCTCGACCTTACTAGGCTTTTTATTTAATTTCAAAGAAATTCAAAATCGAAATGAAATTTTGGTTGAGGTTTTACTTAATTTCTTGGAAATTAAATTTTATTTTGATTAAGACTGAAATTTCTAAGAAAATTCACATCTTTTTCATCAAATGTAGCAAATATCTTAGTGGAAGGAAATAAAAGTTTAGTAGATTCGTGATTTCGACGAATCTATGTTTAACCTAAATAATATTTTGTTTCTGAATGTACATTATGCATCGAGAGTCTCAGAATAAGGTGAATGCGCGCGCATTAAAACAGGATGGTGCAAGCGGTAGCACAAGTGATCTTACGAACGTGAAATACCGGCGATTTATGTATCACAGTACGTGGTACATGAGTAATTAATGATAACCGCGGTTGCCCGGAAAGCGAGAGATTTCAGTCGTTTACATTCTCGGTTTTTCTTGGAAACAATTTATCGTTAATTGCCTTTCGCATCAGGCGATACCGCGAACGCGGTAATGAGAAAGTTTTTATATTCAGAAAATGACGTGTGAACTTATCAATTGCTCGCGGAGGTAAAGAAATAATTTATCGTTAAATGCCTTTTGCATCGGGCGATACTGCGAACGAGAAAGTTTTTATATTCAGAAAATGACGCGTGAGCTTATCAATTGCTCGCGGCACAACGTGTCGTATCATACGAGACTTTAGTTATTTCAACGATTTTCCGTAAATAATTCCAGACTAACCGATTGGCGTTAATTATATACAGTTCACCGTACAATCGCAATGACGTGTCTTAATTATACTCCGGCACAATGCGACCTGCATTAATTATGCAGTTTCATTTTGCGAGTTCTGCTTCTCGTCTTAATTTTGCGGACGGAACTGCCCTGCGAAATTACACTTTCATGGCTGTGCCCTAGCGCGCCTTTTGAATAACTTTTCAACAACTTTGAGGTCAGTGGGTAAGCCTCGCGATAAACTCCGCAATTATTAGCGGGGCGATTGATTATGCAGCGCGGAAATACGCTTTCGTCGGTGAATGACAAACCCGCCGCTGTCGGGATCAGGTGGGGAGGGAGAGAAGGAGGCCACCGTCGATAGCGATATACGAGGCGGCTACGCGCCAGGTTTACACTCGCGCCGATCGTCAGCGAGCCCGAAACTTTCACGCCGTTTGTCAAAACGGTCCTTTTCCCACCCCTCCTCCTCCTCCTCCTCCTCTTCCGCCTCCTCCTTCCCCGTCGTCTTTTTCTCCATTCCCGGCACGGATAGCCGTGCGCGCGTACACGCATACGCACGTACACACGCGTGCGTGCGAACGTTCCGCGAATGGCATTTGCAATGCAAAACTCGCCGGCACGAAGGTCATTAATTATGCACTCCGCGCGACGGCGATGCGCAACAATAGAGTCGCCGGGGCGCGCACTCCGGTGCGCGCCATCGTCGGCCCGGCTAGATTTTCCTCGGAATATTTTCGCGACGGACGACCCCCTCTCTCCCCCCCCCCTCGACGTCGCGTGCGACGAGGACTCATTTTCGCGGGCGAGAAATTCGGACCGCGGGGAAAAACGCTGACCTGCGGGATTAGTTTGGTACCTGCGATTTTTAGCGCGTCTCTCTCGCGCGCGCGCGGCCGCGGAAACGCGTAGAGCTGAGAGACAGGTACAAAGAGCCCGACGCGAGAGATTCCCACAGATAGCCACGAGATGCAAATATATCCGTCGCGGATATCCCTAAGTAATTGAGTTCGTCTACCCCGCCCACGCGATATTATAATATATTAATTAATTCGTGGGCGTGCGTGTGGAATTATAATTTTTTTTTCTCGATTACAGGGTGATTTTATATTACGGGGAGACGTGAATTAGCCGTGATATTTTCAGCGCGGTGGGCCGCGGAACAGACCCGTCGCGGAGAGTTGCACGGGGCAACCCGGGAATAGAGAATTTCGCGCGCATTTCGCTGACGCAATTATATAACTTTGCCGGCCGCGTTATAGGCGCGACGCAATTACGAGGCATATTCGGAAATTAAGATCACGACATTCCGCAAAAATCGAAAAGATGCATATCTATTGTTGAAACTTACACGACTCGTTACGCGAGTACGCCGCTGCTGTTTTTCCACGCGGTCGCTATTCAGTTCCAAGCATCTGATGAGCCGGGGGATCATCTTTTGTACTCCTCGGTAACGCGTACCTGCCGCCATTTTCCTTGACCATTCACACGCGGCATCCTCTATTTTGTCGTAGTAGAAAAGCGTTTTCCACGTGCGGTACTTTAAAAGGACGAAAAGAAGAACAGTCACCTGATGCCAGGCCGGGACTATGACTCGTTACGCGAGTACGCCGCGATTTTTCCACGTGGTCGCCACTCATTGTCAGTTCCAAGCTCCGTGAGCCGGGGTATCAGCTCTTGTACTCCTTGGTCACGCGTCTCTGCCGCCATTTTTCTTAACCATTTACACGCGGCATCCTCTATTTGGCAAAAGGACGAAAAGAAAAACAGGCATCTGATGCCAGGCCGGGACACTATGGGCAGGATGATTGAGAATATCCGAATCTCTGTTCGTTATGAATGCTTATTCAACCGTCTTTAAATTCCACCACCTTGTCACCTTATCACTTTATTACTTCACCGCGGGCCACGACGTTGCCGTGAACAA